AGGTAAAGATTCGATTCCAAGATGATTTTAAGAACATGTTAATATCATTAAAAGAAATGTTTTGTATTAAATAATGTACCTATACCAGTGAAAAAATTACTATTAGAATAAATTACCTAATAGATACACAATGCAGTGAGTGCTTTCGACGGTTAGTTACAAACACGGGTTCCAACCCCAAACACGTAAAGAATGGTTAAATACAAGTTAATTTTACGAACCGCAATGTTTTAAGAGTTCAACTCGACACTGTAAAACATACATTTTCTCGTCGAAATTCGGAATATTGCGGAAACTCTAACGTGTAACGGAAAGTTTTTTTTTGTTACTTTCTGCGAGGACTTTCTACTTTGTGGGTTGATGAAATAGTTTCCGAAGTTGTTGTGTTTGTGACTATTGGATTACATATTAAGTAACTCTAATTGTGAAGATGTGGTGTATAATGCATTTCGTTGTCGTTCTATAATGTAAGTTTTTAAAGTTCTTATAAAAATCAGACGTGTGCGCGCGCGCTTGGCGTACGGCTGTTGTATCGTAGATCCACTTAAGTCAAATACGTAATTGTTCATAAATATCTCAAAGATGGTGTCTTTCCAATATCGCATAAGCATTAATAATGGTGAAGTGTAAGAAATGCAATAAGACTGTGTCGATCGCGAAAGAGGAGTCTAGTAAATGTAAAGGCGCATGTGAAGCAGTCTTTCATAAAAAATGCGTTACGAGAACTACCTTCAAAAATGAAAAATGTGAAGATTATGTTTCCGTGCCCGGATCGTGTACTACTTCGCCTGCTGTTGATGAACCGGATATTGCAGTGACCTTGGCTGATATGAATAGGAAAATGGAGGTGGTGTACAAAATGGAGAAGAAGCTGAGTGAGCTGGCCGATTTGGTTGATTTTGTGTCAGAAAAATATGATAACCTAGTGGAGTACCAGAAGTCGACCGAAACAAAAATAAAATCCTTAGAAAACATGAATGCTCACTTGATGAAGTGCAACAAAGCACTGGAAGAACGTGTGAATGAGCTGGAAGAGAAAGACAAGGAAAAAAGGTGGAATTAGCTGGACTGGAAAAGAAGGAAAATGAAGATGTGGCGAAAATAATAATCCAGGTAGCCAACAAACTCCAGATGGATGTTAGCCAGATTGAGCACGCAGAGAGGGTAGGCCGTGTAAAACCAGATGCCGACAAGCCACTGCCAGTAGTTGTAATGCTGAGAACGAAAGAGGCTCGTGATAAGTGGATTAGAAGTCGCAAAAAACATCTGACCAATGGCGAAATTTATGGTACAAATAACGACAACCGTATTTATATAAATGCGAATCTCACTAAATATAAAAGGAACCTTTTATGGGTTACTAAAAATCAGCTTAGGGAAACCTACAAGTACATTTGGGTACAGGATGGAAAAATACTCATAAGAAAGAGTGATGAACAGAAGAAAATAATGTCAATTAAGAGTGAACGTGATATTGAAAAATATATAGAAAACAATTTAAATACGGCAACTAGCTAGATGTTGTTGTTGGTCTCACTAGCCTCACGCACACTTAGTGCGAAGTAAACACTGCGAGCTCAATAACATCAAGTAAAAGGTGATCGTTTCGACGCAATTATCACACTGGAATCAATATACAAGATTTAAAACAGCGAATTCCTGGGTTCGGAGTATATCTTGCAACAACAAATATTTACACATATTACACATAAATATTCGGTCGATAAGAAAAAACTTTAATGAATTGCTAGTGTTTGTAAAAAAATGCTCTGAGGAGTTAACATTACTAGTGGTGACAGAGGCAAACATTAACAACAATGACCTATCACTATACCACATGGAGGGGTACAATCTATTTGCAAACACGAGGGAGACTAAAAGAGGAGGGGGTGTGATTATTTACGCTAAGGAGTATCTTAGTTTCAATACACACAAAACCCTAACGAGTTCACTGGAAGGACTTTATGGTAAACTCACTGTTGACCACTCTATTCTTAATATAATTGCAGTCTACAGACCACCAAAAACGAATAGGTCGTTATTCGTTGATGAAATGGAGCAGATAATTATGAAGATCCCAGCGAGCGAGGATATTATCATATTAGGTGACGTCAACATAAACCTGTTAGGAGTGAGTGAAAATCAACTGGTGTCAAAATATAAGGACTGCCTGTGTGGACTAGGCCTACAGTGCGTAATACCGGTTACGGAGGTGACGCGAGAGGTTATCGTAGCGGCTTTAAGAGAAGCGTCGTGTATCGATCATGTTTGGGTGCGAGCAAGACAGCTGCGGGACTGCTACTCGTTCATCATTGAGTGCTCCATGTCGGATCATCATGTGGTGGGAATCTCGGTGCCGTGTAAACATGTGACGTAACACTGCACTGACAGCGCGGACTCGGACACTCGGTTTGTAATTAATAATAGGCTAGTAGCTAAGCAGATCACTTCACCAGATTATGATTGGTCTCAACTGTTGTTCATTGATTGTCCGTTAAAGTTGTACTGTAAGCTGCAAAATGTCTTCAATGATATTTATAAAAATAGTAAGACTGTAATGCCAAAGATTAAAAAACGGGACACACAACCGTGGATAAGCAGAGATTTAAATAAAATGATAATGCGTAGGGATAAGTTATTTAGGGATTGGAAAGAAAACCAAACAATAATACGAAAAGACTCGAATATACACGTTTTAGAAATATGGTAAACAAATTAATTTTTAAAGGAAAAAATAGGTTTCGGCAGGTAGAAATCAAGAAATGAAATGGAGACCCAAAAAAAATCTGGGACAAAATTAATAGCTGGACAGGTAGGAAGAAAGCAAATATAGATGATATAGTTAAAAGATATTTTGGAGATAAAAACACAATGTACAATATATGTAGTCAATTTGCAGATACATTTACGAACGAAATTATTGCTATTAAACATAATTGTAGTATTAAATTATTAGATAGAAGTAAATATGTTAAAGAAAGTGATGTAACGTTTCGCTTTAAACCAGCTACCAGTGACACAGTGAGTAAAATTATTGATCAGCTGAGCTGTAGTAAGGCGCCAGGCACTGACTACATTCGAGTTATGGACCTAAAAATAATCAAGGATAGGATCTCGCCGGTCTTATCGCACTTTGTCAACCTGTGTTTATCGAAAGGGGAATATCCTAGCACACTCAAAAAAGCTTTAATCAGGCCCATCTACAAGCAGGGAGCGCACTCAGAGTATGCTAACTATAGACCGATTGCTATCTTATCGGTCATTAATAAAATAGTTGAGAAGATGGTAGTCGGCCAGGTCAGCGAATTCCTGGAGCAAAATAGCATATTAGCGGATGCACAGCACGGTTTTAGGCATGGTCGTAGCACCACAACAGCACTATCACAGTTTTCCGAAGATATAAACAGTAGTCTGCACCAGGGCCATCAGGTCCTGGCGCTGTTCATAGACTTTAAAAAAGCCTTCGATACCTTGGATCATGAGATGCTGTTACAGGCCATGGATGAGTGTGGAATCAGGGGTCCAACAAATAGGTGGTTTCGGAGTTATCTGAGTGACAGAACATTATAAACCTGCATTTCTGGTGTTGCTGGTAAAGAAGCAGCGGTACAACTTGGTGTTCCAACTGGTTCAGTCTATGGTCCCGTTGGCTACGTTATGCATGTCAACAGCGTCAGTAATGTGGTTAAAAAAATCTCGAGTATATATGTACGCGGATGTGTCATGTGCCTTATATATTCCTCTAAGAATATACAAGAGGTCGGGGCTGTGCTGCAGGCTGACTTCGATAATGTTACTCGTTGGGCTCATGACAATGGTATCATACTTAACCTTAATAAGACGAAAGTGATGCATCTGTACTCACCGCACAACTTAGTGGCAAAAAATGTCAAGAGCGTGGATATAGGTATTGTGGACCACACGTATGAATGTATGCACGATAAAAATTTAAATTGTATTTGTCAAAAGCTGGAGTATGTAAGTAGATTTAAGTATCTAGGTCTGTGGGTGGACTATAATATGAATTGGAAAACACATGTTGAAGCAGTATGTACAAAGCTCAGGGCAGTGTTAAGTAAGTTTTATATCCTGAATGCAGCGTTGAATAGGAAATCGTTGCGTGTCATTTATTTTGCTCTCGCCGAGTCATTACTAACTTATGGATTAAATACGTATGGCCGTACATTTAAAACCTATCTTAACAGTATAAAATCGTTACAAATCCGTTTTATAAAATACCTTGTCAAACCACAAACAAAAATTGCATGTAAAGACAATTATGAAAAACTTTTTGTTGCATGTAAAATGCTTCCTGTACATGAGAAGGTCAAGTACCTGCTGGTTCTTGAACAGTTCTATAACGACCAATTTAAAGAACAAGTGCAAAATAGGTATAATACTAGAAGCGTTAGAGAGCGTAAACTCGTGCGACCACCAGTAAAAAATTATTATGGGAAAAGAACCAACAAATATTTGACCCCCACACTTTTTAATGACCTTGATTGTAATAAGTAAACAAACATTAAAAAATAAATTGAAAACTGTCTTCCTTAACGAAGTTGTTGAGAGATGTGAAAAAGTTAGTAAATCCTAATATTAGTAGTAGTTTCTATAGGCCAAATGATAGTTATTCTTAATAATAGCAGTAGTTTTATATATATATATATATATATATATATATATATATATATATATATATATATATATATATATATATATATATATATATATATATATATATATATATATATATATATATATATAATAGGCTAAATTTTAGTAAATAGTTCTTAATAACAGTTTAATACCGGTTTAAAAAAATTAAAACTTGCTTTTTTACACTTTTATTTTCATTAGTTTATAGTTACGTATTTGAGCCAAATGTATTAAGACAAGCACTAATCCCGCCGACAAACTGCTACGCAGTTTGATGGGTGTGAACAATGTATAAAAGGTTTGGTCCAGAATAAATGATCTATTATTATTATTATTTGGGGTATCTATATAGTTTTCTCATCTGGTTGGGTTCTATAAATATATAATTATAAATGAAAATGAAAAGATAAATATACATAAATATCAATAACATAAAATAAATATAAAAATACATAAATAAATAAAAGCCCAACCAGATGGAGGCCCTCGGCAGGGGAGACCAAACGGCTGAGGGTTAGGGGGAAAGGGAAAGAAACCGGCGGACGATGCGGGCGGTATCGAGGAGCACCGCCTTCTGCATTTGAGCCCGGAGCGGTCCGCCACGTAGTCCCAGTCGCCTCAGATGACCCGAGAGGCTGACTGGGATTAGCCCGTTTGCAGAGACGACTACAGGAATAATTTCGGTCGGCAGACCACCCCACATATCAGTCACCTCGTGAGCCAGGTCCAGATATTTTGTTTGCTTGTCTGTTTCGGCTTTCACGAGGTTCTCGTCATACGGAATGGTAATGTCGACCAAAAATATCCTTGACTGTGCCCGGTCCATCAGCACAATATCAGGCTTATTCGCAAGAATAGTCCTGTCTGTGATGATGGCCCGGTCCCAATAGAGCCTGGCGCGATCATTTTCGAGCACGGCTTCCGGCAAGTACTTGTAATACGGCAATTTCCGATCCACGAGACCGTATTTCAGAGCGAGCTCCTGGTGAAGAATTCTGGCTACTAGGTTGTGCCTGTGCAAGTACTCAGAGTTAGAAAGCGCCGAACAACCGGAGATGACATGCCTAAGTGACTCACCGGGATGGCGACAAGCTCGACAGATGTCCACGGTGCCATCCTTTAGGATGTATCTCCGATAGTTGTTGGTCTTAATAACCTGATCCTGTATTGCACAGACAAAACCCTCGGTTTCCCCGAATAGATCACCAAAGCGTAGCCAGTGGAGGGAGGCTACTGTGTCTACGAAAGGCTCATGTAGAGCCTTGTAGAACCTCCCGTGGAGCTCCTTCTCCTTCCATACGTTCTCCCGGTCGGAAATTGTCTGCACTGCCGGGTCTTGCCATTGCTCGTTGGCTAAGGATAGAGGGGTAAGTCCTTTATCACTAGAAATGACGTCCTTATAGAATGGATCATCCGATCTCGCCAGGAAGTAATTACGGAGGCTGCACACTTCGCGATTATGCATGGTGAGCGCGCTCAAGAAGCCACGCCCACCATGCTTTCGCGGCAAGTACAGCCTCATTACCGACGATCTCGGATGATGCATCCTGTGGGACGTCATGGTAGTGCGGACTTTTCTATCCAGGGCGTTAAGTTCAGTCTGAGTCCACCTGAGTATGCCAAAGGTATACATGAGGACAGGCATGACCCAGCCGTTATATGCGTGTGTCTTATTCACACCGGACAAAAGGCTGTTAAGCACTTTGGTCAAGCGTGCATAAAACACGTCGCAAACTGACTGTTTCATACCAGCCTCATCGATACCGATGTTCTGTGACATACCCAGGTATCGGTATGTTTCAGCCTCGGAAAGGGTCCTTAAGTTGACGGGCATAGATAAGTCTATGCCCTCAGAGTTAGCAACCCTCCCCCTTTCAACATGGAGGACCGCACACTTATCCGTTCCCAGCTCCATTCCAATAGAATTGCTAAATTCACAAGTGATGTTTAGCAATTCCATAAGATGGGAGCGACTGGAGGCGAATAACTTGAGGTCATCCATATAGAAAAGGTGGGTCACTTTTGTACCTCCTTTCCGAAGCTGAAATCCCCTCCCGGAGCCCTCCAGTAAAGTACTGAGAGGGTTCAGGGAGAGGCAAAACCAGATTGGACTCAGACAATCGCCCTGGAAGATACCCCTTCTTATCCTTATGTGGTTCTCCGCAGCCATCATCCGCTCGCCCAGATAGCAAAGGATCGTACTCTATTGCCCCATACACTGCTCGAGGAAGTCTCCAACTGTACAGTCAATTTTGTACAGCTGGAGGACTCTCTTTAGCCATGTATGGGGCACCGAGTCGAATGCCTTTCTGTAGTCTATCCAGGCGGCGGAGAAATTCCGACGGTTGCGTTTCACCACTTTGCCAATGACCGCGTCAATGAGGAGTGGTTCCTTGGTTCCACGACCACCGCCCCGGCATCCATTTTGAGCGCGTGACATCACCTGATTTAGCTCCAGGTGACGAGTGATTCTAGCGCTCAAAATGGATGTCAGTGTCTTATATATGGTGGGTAGACACGTGATGGGGCGGTATTTGCTCGGGTCTGCGGTATCCTGATCTTTAGGAACCAAATGAGTGATCCCAGTAGTGAAGAGGCTCGGGAGCGACTTCTGATCGAGAGCCTCTTGAAACTGTCGGGCGAGCACAGCGTGACACACTACGAACCCCTTCAGCCAGTAATGATGCAGCCCGTCGAGCCCCGGACTTTTCCAGTTCGGGGCCCTACGGACCGCCTCAGCCACGTCTTCAGGCGTTATGGTGACGGGGTCCATAGGCGTAACACTTGCACTCTGGCTCGCCACAACTTCCATCCAAGGGCCCGCGCTGTGGTTTACGGGCTCTGACCACAGGCCACGCCAAAATGCGACAGTGTCAGCCTGATCCGGTCCTGGGCCCGCTCCACATACCTCTGGTCGCTCCAATGTTTTATAGAGCCTCTTCTGATCACTCTGGAAGAGACGATTCTGGTTGAACCGCCTTGACCTCTCGCTAAATCGTCGAATCCGCTTCCCCCAAGCAGCGATTTTTTGCTTCAGGTCATCTATGCGCTCCGTTAGTTTTTGCGTGATATCCGGCTGGAACAAATTGATATTTGTCCCAGCAAACGCCATCCTAACGGTGCGCATAATCCTCGGTCTATTATTACCCGACCTGAAGCTTGTCAGTCTGCCAATAAGGGCCCTTGCCTTTGCGATACGGTCCTCAATTCTTTTTCTCCAGGCTGGGATGGCGCTACTTTTTTGAGTAGCACGTCCAGCCACGGGAAGTTTGGCGCCAATAATACGGCATACTGCCAGTGCGGCGCCAAAAAGAATTGAATCCGTCTCGCAAAGGTCCCGGCTGGCTTCCAAATAGGTCACCAGCATTGGGTTAAGAGCCCGCACGACAGCCCGATTTCGCTTGCTAAGGGGTATGCGGGGAAGTCGCGGTCGATTTTCGAGAGGCATGCTGCGCGTTTCCAGCATCGACTCTTCCAATATGCTCCTCATTATCTCTAGTTCGTGGGAGACTATTCCATCATCGTCTGAATTAGCCACAAATGGAATGTTGACGGCAGCATCCACATATGCAGTTTGTTGCGCATCTAGTGGCGCCGCATTCCCAGCCGTAGCATTTCCATTCGATGAAGGAATAGCCTCACGTCGTAGTCGCTCGAGTTCGGCGTCACCAAATATATTGGAGCGCAGGATGTACCTAACTCGGTCTGCCAGGTTTTGCTCAGTGACGGATAGAGATGGCTCCAGCTCTGCAAAAAAGCGATGCATCCGAGCCCGATACGCCAAACATCCAGTTTCTTCCCCTTTTGCCCTAAAATACGCCCGCAGTGCGTTTTCATTCATTGATTTAGACCAACGCATGCGACGTGCTCCACCAGCGGCGGGTGCCGCTTGCTGAGTCCGAGAAGACCCAGCCGACACCAAGCCTTCTGGTGGGGATGATGGATGCGGGGGCTGCTAGGTGGTCTTGCAACACCCCGCGCTCGGCTGGCGGCCCGCATGCTGTCGTTTCCAGCGCCAGCTCCAGACGCGCCCTGGCGACCTCCAGGCAGCGGCCCTTTGCGCACTATCTTTTTCTCCATCATCCATAATATGGGCGTCCATTAACGGGAGACGCCCAGGCCCGGCACCGTATCGTGGACGGCCATAAGCACAAACGGGCCTTTGCACCCTGAATTCTGCCGAGGCACGGCGCTCACACCTCTCGCAAGGCGCTGACTGACTGCGTTGACGTAGCAGTTTTGTCACTTAACTGTTACGTCAGCGGGCGATGGGGTCGTCAATTCCCTACGCCATTCGATTATTATTATTATTATTATTAAATAACTTTTAATGGTATCTTCTTGAAATATGTACACTAATACAATTAATTTAGATATGTATATCATTGTTGATATATTTAGTTTCATGCACAGATGTTCCTTCTCTTCTTTCATTAGAGTGGAGAAATCGAAAACTCCAAAACTTATACAATATAAACCTTTCAGATTAATGATTTATTTTATTGTTTACTGTCTAAAAATTAATTCTGATTTATGTTTACTTTGGTAGAGTTTTAATAAATAGTTATATAACCACATATTTTATTGTAGCGAATAAATAAAATTCTACAAAGAATAAAAGAATCCTCGGATGATATTAACAAATTTTATAACTTTTTTATTTATTAATGTAATAAAATATAAAATTATATTCCTACATACACGTAGGAACATAATTTTATGTTTTATTGTGAACCGAGGACATAATATAACTTCATGACTATATCATAGTCTTCTTACTATTATAATCATAGCTTAAGATAGATGCTTGTTGTTTAAGCTTATTATACTTTAGTATTATTATTAAATTGTATGATGTTTTATATATTATAATACAGATAGATAAATGAACTATCATTTCACCACGATACGTATATTCCGTATGCCGTGGATACCAGAAACCAAACTCAAACAAACAAGACGGCAGTTGCGTTTTCACCCCTGCAGTCTAAGATGAACTGTCTCATGTACTATAATTATACTTGGTGTCTTATACCTGAGAATGAAACACGGCGTGGGGTCACTGCTCCTTGGTGACAGAAACATTAAGAGGACAGTAGCAACTAGCCTGGCTGAAATGGAGCCCGACTACTTGAGTTTGAAAAACTTTAAAGTAGTTTTCTTCTTCTTCATCATCAGCTCGTAATAGTTTTCACCACGCCTGGCGAGCGGGTTTGCGATCACATTAACAGACGTCTTGCCATTTTGACGAGGGCTCTCCGTTGCCAGTCTCGGTATTTTATGTTTAGTAATAACGAGATTGTTTCATTATGTCATCTATCGTTAGTTATAATATTTCTGTAGTTTTCTAGAAGTAGTTTTATGTTATTAACCATTCCTTTTTTAAAGTTCTGTTATACAAATGTTGTTAAAAGCATCATAAAAAGAATCGTATGTTCGTGCTGCAGTTTGAAAATGTTTTTGAATTGATAGCACTTTAACACATTTCATTTTAAACTGGCGTTTACATGATCAAAAGCAAATTCTTTGAAGCATCGACAATTCAATTATTCGTTTTGTGTAAACACTGAGCGCTGTGATCTCTTTTGTTGACAATTGTCAAAGTTGCACGATTTAAAAAAGACAATTTAATTTTAAAAATTTGAAATATAGAAGGGTACATTATTTCCTCTTTATGTGCAAGGTCTTTTCAGTTTCTTGATTAAATTGATACTACGACATCTTCCCAAAAGTAGAGGGCAGATCATTACCTTACCGACCACAACTTTAACCTTATTAAGCTCTTTCTCTGGATGATTTTTTTCCAAAATATTATGAGTTTTACAATTAAGTTAGTCCAGTGACAAAACTTACAATAATTTTTGATAGGATCAGTATTTCATGCCGGCACACCTCCTGCAACTTTAGGAGGCACAGGTTCGGCCTCACATTGAATACTGTTCCCATCTCTGGGCTGGAGCTCTCCAGCCCAGCTCCTTCCACTTGACTGCATCCAACGCAGAGCGGCTCTAATCGTCGACGACCGAGTACTTTCCGATCGGCTCGATTAACTGGCGCTGCGAATAGATGTTGCATCCCTTTGTATTTTCTTTCGCATCTACCCCGGGTAGTACTCTGAGAAATTATTCGAATTAATCCCAGCCACCAAATTTCATGAACCCACTACTTGGCAAAACTCACGGTACCATCCACACCATCTGGATGCTTGGCGGTCCACCACCGTACGTTTCACTAGGAGTTTTCTTCCGCGTACGACCTCTCTGTAGAATAGTTTACCACCGGCGATTTTCCGGTCCGATACGACCTGGTGACCTTCAAGAAAAGATCCTATTCCTTTCTAAAATGTAGGCAACGCACCTGCAATTCCCCTGGTATTGCAATTGTTAATGGGCGGCGGTAGTCACTTAACATCAGGTGAACCGTATGCTCGTTTACTACCTCTCCTATAAATAAAAACATGCGTGTAGCTCACACGCGACAGATGTTAAACCATCAGATGAAATGAAATATAAAATAAAAACACTTTACTGAAAGGACTTAAGAGGCTATTATCTATTTCAATTTTTAATTTATTTTTTAAGTTGATTTTAAATCAAATTTAAAGTTTATTTTTAAGCTATTGCATAGCTTCTATCGCGGGCCTTGAGTGCGGGAAAATCCAGAAATTTCGTAACGAAAAAAACCTCACGCTCTCCGACGGGCACGGAGGTGTGGCTTGAAGGCCGTGCATTGTCTAACGATGGTCTAACGTCGTTTCATTTCCTCAGTCTTCGACACGGTGTTTGTGTATAAAGTGTTTTGAAATTTTGAATATGAATGAACAAAGTGCATTTATTATTAATGCTGCTCTCTCGCAAAAAAGCTTGAAAAAAGCGTGCAGATGAACCAACTTTTCGTCGACACTTACAGAGAAATTACATATGAAAAAAATAGCTAGTAATATACATGATCTGATACGTAATTTGGTTTAGCCATAATTTTTCTATCGGTGTCACATAATAAATAAAAAAATACCCAAATCACCTCCAAATAGTTGAGATGAAACCACTTTACTCCTCATTGTTTATCAAAGGAATATAAAAAAAATATCTACTGCTTTGCAATACAAAATAAAATAATTTGGTTTGGTTACTTTTTAGAAATATGTATTATTTTTATGATAATAAATTAAAAATGCGTCCCGATTAAATACTGCGTCTATATCACCCCCCGCATTCGTCCACGAATTCAGTGCGGGGCGCATCGTGTTGCTAGGTGGACGTACGCCGCGTTGCGAGAGCTCAGCACTACGAAATAAAATCGTAAAATATTACTGCAAAAATTTAGTTTTGTTAATAGTGGAGTAGGTTTTTTCTGATTCTTGTTTAATAGTAGTGTTTTAAAGTTATATTAATTGTACAGTTTTATTAATGTTTAAGTTTAGTTTGTAAAACATGGGGAATAAGCAGAAACGATTGAAGAGAGGTCTAAAAAAATATTACAAACAAAAGTTTTTCAATTTTATTTATTTGTAGATATAGATATAAGATATTATTCATATTGGTGTCATACATTTATCAAGGTAAGTTTTAAGTTTTATCTACATATTTCATAATATTAGACAGGTGCTGTTTATAAAATACCTATATTACTGTGATTTCGCCACTCAGTGACGAGACAAAGCGCGGCAAACGCAAGTGACGGCAAGGCGCGGGCCGCGTCGTCGCATGCTGGTTTACCTCGAAATTTACAATACGCGATTATCGTTTATTGATTATATGTTGTTTAAAAAGTATTATTATCAGTTTTTTTTGTGTTAAATGGATGCTAAATATAAAAGAATGCTTCAGTATTGATAGCAATTTATTAACGAATTATCTGTTGAGATGTGTCTAGAAATTATTAATACTTATTTTTATTTATTTATTAAAATAATAAATAAATAAAAATAAGTATACATTTATCTATATTGAGTACTAGTTATTCCCCCGCGATCTCGCCCGCGTGGAATATGGATTTCATGGGTTTTAATTTTTTTTGCGCGGAACCCTAATTCTTTTTCTAAAACAAAAGTAGTTCAAGTTATTCCTTATATCATCAGCTATCTGCCAGTGAAAGTCCCGTCAAAATAGATCCAGCTGTTTCGGAGATTAGCTGGAACAAACAGACAGACAGACAGACAGACCGACAGACAGACAAAAAATTTAAAAATTGTGTTTTTGTTACTAGTACTTTCATATGCATATAATAAAAAGCTGTTATTTTAACATTACAAACAGATACTTCAATTTTATTTATTTGTAGATATAGATATAAGATATTATTCATATTGGTGTCATTTTAAAGGGAATAAATCATGTACTATTATAATAATAAAATAATTAATAGAACTATGACACCACTAAGGGAAGTGAAATTTTGATATATGTAAATTCATGTCTTTATCTTGAATTTGATTGCTCAAAAACACGATAGTATAATTTTGACTCGATCATAAATATTTGCGAAAACACCTCTAAAAAACCACTATAGTTGAAATTACAACGAAATTACTTAATCTATATGCTTCGAAATCACTCAAATGTATTCATAACATTAATATTCATAATTTACTTGCTCATTATTTTGATTACTCAAATCAATAATTTTTACAAAAATATTTTAAAGTTTCTGAGAATTTCTATATTAACTTCTCATTTATACAATAAAGAAAAAAAAATTGTTTTCTTATCGGTCACCACGCTCAAAAAGTGTAACTTGATTTAATATCAAAGACTTAACTGCATA